CTCCGCAGATTGCAGATCGCAGACAGGTGGAAAGCAGGCAGGAGCAGGTGGAGCCGCTCCCTCTCCGGGGGAAATCCACCTTTTGTTTTTTATCCAAGTTTATATGGCAGGTAAATCCACTAGGATGATCAACAACCCTACCAAGTTTGTATCTTGGAATGTAAAAGGAATTAATAATGGAATGTATATTATTGTGGTAGGGCAGCTCTTTGCTAACCCAGTGATTTTAGTAAATGTATATGCCCCAAATTGCGATGACAGTAGCTTTTTTAAGAAACTATTCTTTAAAATACCTAGGCTTGACAATGGATTTGTTATAATGGGAGGTGATTTTAACCTTATACTGGACACGACCCTGGATAGGTCATCAAATTCCTCCCCTGAAATCTCTAATGCCACACTGTGGGAGTCCCTTAAAGTTTACCTCTGACGGCATATTATAGCTTACTCTTCTAGAATCAATAGAGGCGAATATTCAAAGCTACAAGAGATATCCCATCAAATCGCGATTATTGACTCAAAATATGTTCTATCTCCAACCCCAGATCTTTATAATGAGCGTCTGCTAACTGAATACAACCTTCTAACTACTGATGAGGCAACGCGTCTTATTTTGAAATCCAGGCATAATGTCTATGACTTTGGAGACAAAGTGAACAAGCTCCTGGCCCTGCAAGCTCGCCGCTCGGCCAATTACTGAAATTCAGTCACATACAGGAGAGACCCTGATAGATCATGAGGACATAAATTAAGCTTTTCTGCATTTCTATTCCAACCTTTATGCCTCAGAATGTAATGAGGACCCTGAGGTCTTCTTTCAAAATGTTACTCTTCCTACTGTGTCAGAGGAACAAAACATTAAATTGAGCGCAGATGTTTCAACTTCGGAAATAATTATGGCCATTAAATCAATGCAAAACAATAAATCGCCCGGCCCAGACGGATTCACTACTGAATTTTATAAAAACGTTTCCCCTCAACTAGCACCAATTATTCAGACAATGTTTAAAGAAGCACTCTCTTCAGGCTCCCTTCCTATGACTTTACGACAAGCCTCTATCTCCCTATTTCCCTACTGAATGTAGACTTGCTGTCTAAGGTCCTGGCCAGACGTCTGGAAAATGTGATTCCAGATATTATATCTCCTGATCAGACAGGATTAATCCAGAACCGACAATCATATTCAAATTTGAGAAAACTATTTAATATTGTCCACTCTGCCCGGTCACCAGACCCAGAGGTAGTAATATCACTCGATGCGGAAAAGGCCTTTGACCGGGTTGAATGGAGATACCTATTCCTTGCCCTCCAAAAATGTGGCTTAAAATGTTTTAATTAATTGCGTGGATTAGACTTCTTCTCTCCCCTGGCTGCTATAATCTGCTATAATTAACCTATGGATCAACCGATTCAGCAGCGTTTTTTCTCGTTTTAATGCCATTGAACACATCGTTTGATCAGATTGACAGCTACGGTGAGACAATCTCCCGTAAAAGGTACGTGTTGTGATGTCTGTGTTTGCTTCCCCTGTCGCGAGATCGGATCGCTTAGATAATATACTTAAATAATATACTTAAATAATCTGTGGAGTCTCAGCTTTGATCGGATATATTGTATGTGCAGTTTCGATAAGTAATAAGGGTATCTTTATTTTGAATTCTGTGCTAAAGTGCGTTAGATTTTTTTTTTTTTAAATGAATAAAACCGCACGTCCCTGCGGTGTTAATATCGCGCATGCGCATATCGCGGTTATCGCCATGACACAGTATATCGTTTAGCCCTACTCCTCAGTGCACACAAAAACATAACTTGGAGAAATAACTAAATACGGAAATGTTATTGATCACCCCTCGATTATGTTCCCTTGTTAAGAAATGTATTCTCATAAATGATGCGGTAAACAGAAGGACATAATTACTTTAAACTGATGCCGTTTTGCATTTCTATAGGTTGTATAGATACGAGCATGGTTTTATATACTATCATGTTTAATGCCGTTCGCCAATACTTGTCGCTCGTAAAACACAGGAGGTATGGAGAGATGCACAGGCTGCAGTGGAGACGCTGCGCACAGCTGATCGACAGCTGGGACACAAACCACCAAATACAAACAAATAATTCAGATCCAGTCGTCATGACTTCACTCCGGAGGGATTCCCCGATCATTTCTTACAGTTTCTCATCAAGGGGGTGTCTCCTGTCCTCGGTACAAACACACTGCCTGAGGAAGGTTAGGCTATGTGTATTTATTTTGTCATTAACCTTTTTCGGACCAGTTATTTATTTATTTTGGTGGCGATCCGACCTCCATGCTGCTACTCTGGTTCAAACTGCATCCACCAAACAATGTGATTTATCTCGAGCTCCCCAAAATAACCAAAATCTGACACGGTGTGAAATGTCTTTTTTAACTGTTCTGTCGTCTTTTCCTGCGATTTTCTTCCTGCAGTCAGTCAAAATGAATATTAATACTAATGGTGCACGATAATTATCGGCCCGATAATTATCGGTCCGATATTAGGAATTATGACGTCATCCCGATAAACCCGATACCAGTATTAATAGCCCCGATAATATAAAATATTTTTTTTGGGTAAAAAAAAAGAAAAAATACTGCGGTGTGGGTGGATTGGGATGAGGGGCGCTTGTTTTTCACTCGGCTCCTCCCGTTTTGCCAGTACTGTGGTATTAGTGGTTTAGGAAGAGGGGAGTTTTTCACTAATCCAGTGTGCGGCGGCCGTGAAGCCAGGACAGTAAACAAACATGTCGCCGGTGGTATGGGACTATTTCAAAGTTTCAGAGTTAGATAGTTTGCTTGCTATTTGTATTAACAAATGCAGAAGTTCCACGAGGAGGGAAAAAGGCAACGAGCTATAATACTTCCAACCTGATTAGTCACCTGAAACATCGCCATCGCTACGATGGTGTGTTAAAAGCGTAGGAAGACGCCTGCGCTGCTAAACTAGCGGCGAATCCAAAGCCAGCTGCAAAGGCACCGGAGCTTTTACCTATCGACGAGGCTTTTGAAAAAGGCAAGAAGTTTGCCAGAGACGACCCCAGGGCTAAAACGATCTCTAACTTCATCATAGAAATGATGGCGCTTGACGAGAGTCAAAACTGTTCTTGGCTTTGTTTTGTTCATAGTAGTAATGCTCATGTCATTTGCTCACTACTAGTCTTTTTTTTACCACCAGGTGTGCAAAAACTACAGGTACATTTAATATATATATTATATTATTATCGGTTATCGGTATCGGTCTTGAGAAGCAGGAAGTTATCGGTATCGGTTTCACAAAACCAATATCGTGCATCCCTAATTAATACGTGGCGTTTCTTTGACTATTTATAGGCAAATATGGGCATTACGTGAAGCCCGCAAAAGCTACGCCGCATTTCGAGTTGATTGTGATTTTTAAAAGGGAAACCGGTACGCAGTGTTTTATAAATCCGAAAATGTCTGTGCGTATTTATTTGCTTTGTCCTACGTAAGCAACCGTCCCACGTGAATCCTACGCAAGGCTTTATAAATGAGGCCCCTGAACATCAGCAGGAGAGAACTCTTTAAAGTAAAGACACTACATACTGATATACACCTGAACATCAGCAGGAGAGGACTCTTTAAAGTAGAGACATTACATACTGATATACACCTGAACATCAGCAGGAGAGGTCTCTTTAAAGTAGAGACACTACATACTGATATACACCTGAACATCAGCAGGAGAGGACTCTTTAAAGTAGAGACACTACATACTGATATACACCTGAACATCAGCAGGAGAGGTCTCTTTAAAGTAGAGACACTACATACTGATATACACCTGAACATCAGCAGGAGAGGACTCTTTAAAGTAGAGACACTACATACTGATATACACCTGAACATCAGCAGGAGAGGACTCTTTAAAGTAGAGACACTACATACTGATATACACCTGAACATCAGCAGGAGAGGACTCTTTAAAGTAGAGACACTACATACTGATATACACCTGAACATCAGCAGGAGAGGACTCTTTAAAGTAGAGACACTACATACTGATATACACCTGAACATCAGCAGGAGAGGACTCTTTAAAGTAGAGACACTACATACTGATATACACCTGAACATCAGCAGGAGAGGACTCTTTAAAGTAGAGACACTACATACTGATATACACCTGAACATCAGCAGGAGAGGACTCTTTAAAGTAGAGACACTACATACTGATATACACCTGAACATCAGCAGGAGAGGACTCTTTAAAGTAGAGACACTACATACTGATATACACCTGAACATCAGCAGGAGAGGACTCTTTAAAGTAGAGACACTACATACTGATATACACCTGAACATCAGCAGGAGAGGACTCTTTAAAGTAGAGACACCACATACTGATATACACCTGAACATCAGCAGGAGAGGACTCTTTAAAGTAGAGACACTACATACTGATATACACCTGAACATCAGCAGGAGAGGACTCTTTAAAGTAGAGACACTACATACTGATATACACCTGAACATCAGCAGGAGAGGACTCTTTAAAGTAGAGACACTACATACTGATATACACCTGAACATCAGCAGGAGAGGACTCTTTAAAGTAGAGAAACTATATACTGATATACACCTGAACATCAGCAGGAGAGGACTCTTTAAAGTAGAGACACTACATACTGATATACACCTGAACATCAGCAGGAGAGGACTCTTTAAAGTAGAGACACCACATACTGATATACACCTGAACATCAGCAGGAGAGGACTCTTTAAAGTAGAGACACTACATACTGATATACACCTGAACATCAGCAGGAGAGGACTCTTTAAAGTAGAGACACTACATACTGATATACACATGAACCCATATCTAAATGTAAGAGAATAAACCCGACAATGCTCAAGTTTGTTTTTCTCATTAAATAAAAGTACAGGTTTAAAATCCTTACACAACATAAATGTACCCCAGTGTAAGGGATAACAGTGTTAGAAATATATTGTGAAAACTGACCGGAGTTCTGGGGGTCTCTTTGTTCTCCATGTTGCTCTCAGTGCTCCTTCTGTGTCTCTGAAATAAGTATTAACACTACGGTCAACACAAAACCAATCTAAAGCTACGAAGTAGCTTAACAGCAGAGGTGGGAAGTACATTTACTCAAGTACTGTACTTAAGTACAACTATAGAGGTACTTGTATTTTACTTGAGTACATTGTATGCTACTTTTATGGTGTACTTTTACTCCACTACATGTATGTAATACCTTTAGTTACTTACTTCACAGATGTGGAAGAATGATGTGAAATATAATCAAGTGTTAAATCAGACTTTAGTTCCACCTGGAGTAAATCCACAAGCTACCCTGCAGTATACAAAGCCATTCAAACTAGCTGCACCTTTACCAGCTTTGAGAACACTTTAATGATCAATCATTATAAAACATATCATATATATTATTCTTAAATGGACCAATCTGCACAATCACTACTTTTGCTACGTTAACTATATGTTAATGATGATTTTGTTTATTATTACCAAAAGTACTTTGACTATATTTTGATGTTACTTTTACTCATGTACAAGATCTGAGTAAAGTAGTCAGTATTATTATCAGTAACAAAAGTACTCGGTATTATAGTAAAAATAATCAGTATTATCAGTACTAAAAGCATTCAGTATTATCAGTAGTAAAAGTGCACAGTATTATAATAAAAGTACTCAGTATTACCCGGTGTTTCTGCTCCTCGTTGTTCTACGGTTTGTTGATGTACACCGACTAGCATTAGCCACCTAGCATGAAGCAGCTAGCAGCCGGGTGAAGAGGTGGAATTGTTCTAAAGCTCATCTCGTCTCTTCTTCTCCTGAGAGAAACGGGTTATATTCTAATATATGATAGATATATATATATATTAATGAACGCTGATAGAGACTCCGACTGCAGGATTGTTTACCAGAACTGGAGACTGCCTGAGATCATGGTAGAGAGCAGATGTAACCGGATGTGGGCCCACAGAGCATCTTCTTCTTCTTTAGTGTTTATTGGCGGTTGGCAAACCAACTTGTAGGTGCATTACCGCCACCAACTGGACTGGAGTGTGGACAAGAGACTATGCAGAAAACAATAAACAAAAGAAACAAAACAAAGAACCAAAACTCTAGATTTAAATGTATACATTTCTCTTAGAAACGTAATAATCTCACAATATATATTGCCTGATGTTTTCCCTAACAGCCCTGATAGCGACAAGTCATGGAATTTTGCTTTCTTCAGTGTAGCACATTTCTCTGAGTACTATATATTCAGTTTCTGGCTGGCTACAGTGTTTACACTTTCCGGTTGGATGCTTTCCTATTATACTTAATGTATGATTGAGACCTGTATGACCTATTCTCATCCGAGAAATGACATTTTCCTCCCTTCTTTTAAACCCCTTCCATCCCCCACATACCTTTGAATTTTATAAAGATGTCTTCCTGTATCACTAAGGTCCCAATGTTCTTGCCATGTTGTTTGTGCATATTTCTGTATGAATGTTTTAACCTCCGCTTTGCTGAGTGGAACTTCTATGTCTATGTTCATACTTCTGAGTGTTTGTTTGGCCAGAATATCCACCTGTTCATTACCCTCCACACCAACATGAGCAGGAACCCAGATGAAACGAGTTGCTATGCCTTTGTTTAGCATTTTATATACAATTAGAAATATTTCATTTATTATGTCCATTCTAAATGAAGATCTGCCTGATCGTATACTCGATAATGCTGAAAAGCTGTCAGATGCAATTACACTATTATGTATTTCTTTATCCTCTATCCATTTCAATGACAACACCAATGCCAACAACTCTGTGGTGTATACTGACAAATGGTCTGTTACCCTTTTATTTATATGTGTATTAGTCACTGGGATATAAACTGCTGCCCCTGCACGCCCTGTCTCTGGATCTCTGGAACCATCTGTAAATATGATTGTTGAGTCTGAGTGATATCTTGCAAAATAATTCTGGACTATGCGCCATACTGGTAGTTCTTTCTTTTCCTTTAACTCCTCTTGTATATTGAGGTCTCCACTTGGCAATGGGAACAACCAGGGTGGAATGGACGAGATTGGAACTGTGGGGCAATACTGTATTTGATTCAAACCTATACTTGCTGCTTTAACATCGCCAATCCATCCAAAACTTGTTAAATGTGACTCATTGTGCTCCCAGCAGTCTTTCAAAAATACTTTTCGCAGGATGACTATCACTGTGCCCCTGAAGGTTTACCCAGTATGCCAACATTAACTTCACTCTTCTTATCCTTAAAGGCATTTCTCCCATTTCCACCTGTATTGCTGATACTGGAGATGTTTTAAAAGCTCCACTACAAATTCTCAGGGCCTGAACTTGTAGGACATCCAGCTTTTTAAGGTTTGATTCTGCTGCTGCCATGAACGCTATACACCCATAATCGAATACAGGTCTCATGAGTGCCCAATATATATTCAGAAGTGACGACCTACTCGCTCCCCACTCCTGCCCCGCCAAACACCGAAGTACATTGTTGACCTTTTTACATTTATTTTGAACTTTTCCTATATGATTGCTCCATGTTAGTTTTCCGTCAAACCAAACACCAAGAAATCTTATTGTATTAACCTGTTCAAGAGGTTGCTCATACAATTTTAACGATATACTGTAGGAGCAATGTTATGCCGTTTTGTAAAACAAATGACCTGCGTCTTAGCTACTGACAGTTTGAATCCCCATTTATTTGTCAATTTCTCCACTTCAACTATTGCAGCTTGTATTTTCTTACCAACATGTGCTACATTGCGGCCTATTGCCCACAAAGCCCCATCATCTGCATACAAAGATGTTCCCACACTTGGATGAACTTGATTAAAAATGTCATGTATCATTATATTGAACAGCAACGGACTACATACCTTGCGGAGTACCATTTCCCACAGCATAAACACTTGAATATTCTGCACCTACTCTTACTTGTATTTTCCTGTCCAGTAAAACATTCATAACCCAATTATATGCTTTACCACCAATTCCAAATGATTTTAACTTGATTAGTAGTCCTTCTTCCAGAGCATGTCATAAGCCTTTTCAATATCAAAGAAGACTGCAATCACTACTTCCTTGTTGGCTTTCCTGATGTCTGATTCTAAGCACAATATAGAATCCATTGTATTCCGACCCCTCTGGAACCCACTTTGATATGGGGACAACAGAGCTTTACTTTCTAAGATATATGTTAACCTTTCTGTAACCATTCTCTCCATGATTTTGCATAAATGAGATGTCAGGGCAATAGGCCTGTAGCTAGATGGATCTGAAGGGTCTTTCCCTGGCTTCAGGATGGGCACTATTATCGCTTGTTTCCACTCTGAAGGAAGTTGGCCAGAATCCCACACCCTATTAAACAACCTTAACACAATGACTAGAGAGTTATCTGTCATGTGTTCCAACATTTTCTAACAAACACCATCTTTCCCAGGAGTGGTTTGACGAGCACTAATAATTGCTCTTCTCAACTCAAACATACTAAAATGCAGGTCCAACTGATCCCCTAACACTTCAACTCTATCCAATATTCTCGGGTTTTCCATTAGTGTATTATTTCTGCACTGCCTGGCTTCCTCTGTAAGGTTATCTGAACTATGAACTTTCCTAAATGTTTGAGCTAGAAGTTCCGCCTTTCTTAAGTTTGTGACAGCCATTATGTCCCCTCTGCTCAAAACTGGCAACTCATAATTCCTTCGAATTCCCCCCATTCTCCTAATCATGCCCCAAACATCTGCAAGCTGTACTTCTCTTCCAATACTATTGCAATATTGCCTCCAAAAAGTGCGTTTTTGCGTTCTTATTGTTCTCCTGGGCCCTTTTATACTGATTCAAAGCTTCCTGAGAATGGAGTTTTTTGAGTTGCTTGAATGCTTTATTTCTGTCTTTAATGGATTTGCTACAGTCACCATTCCACCAGGGTACACTCTTGGTACGCCTAACTCCTGCAATTTCCGGAATTGTTTCTTTAGCTGAATGAATGATAACCTTAACCAGCTCATCATTGAATTTATTTATATCCTCATAATTTTCCTCTTGAAGTGTTTTACATCTATTCGTACATACAACTTGGAAGGCATCCCAATTAGCCTTTCCCAGCTTCCATCTAGGAATTTTCTTTTCCTTTTCAAACCTTATGTTGGTCCCAACTTTAGTCATTACCGGATAATGATCGCTGCCCACTGTAGTATGCTTTACTACATTCCATGTACTTATACCTGCTAAAGCACTAGATACAAATGTCAGATTGAGTACTGTTTCTATATTCTTCGTACAATTATATTGCGTTCCTTCTCCAGTGTTAATGCACACTAGCCCAAGGTCATCTATAAATTCCTCAACTACTGCACCATTTGCATCTGTGCTACTGCTTCCCCATAGCGAGTTATGTGAATTAAAATCCCCACACCATATTACTTTGTCTTGCAGTGAACCCCCAGCATCCTCTAATATACTTTGATCTAATTTCCCACATGGATTATAATAATTTACTATATCTATAGGTCCTCTATCATTCCATACCCTTATAACTATTGCTTCATGATCTGTACTTACATGCATAACTTTGTAACTTATACCACTATGTAGGAATGTTGCAACTCCTCCCCCTCTGCCAGAGTCCCTATCTTGTCTAACTGCAGTATATCCCTTCACAATAAAATCCAGTTGTGGTTTCAGCCATGTTTCCTGAATACAAAGTACATTAGGTTTCTCTCCCAGGTTGTCAATATATTTTTTGAACTCTTGTCCATTTGCAATTAAACTTCTAGCATTCCACTGCAGTACAATTAACACCATCAGGATGATCCAGTCCATGTCTGAGGTTGTTGGACGTCATCATTTAGGATATCTTTCACGTTTCCCCAGTGCATCCCTTTCACATCAAGGTACTTTTCAGCTGATTCGACAATTATTTTGATTCTTTCATTCCGGCTTGTAGTCTGCGCTGAACAGTTGATAATCTCTGCCATAAACAGTACAAACTCTCTTTTACTCACTATCAGAGTGTCCTCCTTCAACTTAACAGTTGTGGACTTTTCCTGTTTCTTTGCTCTTATTGTTGTTTCCCATTTTAACCTGCATTCCTCCTGAAACTGTCTTCGCTGCCTCTGCATAGCTAACTCCCTGCGTCACCCTGACTCGCTGCACCTCTTCTGCTTTCTTGCTAACCTCACATCCACGGTACGCTGAGCTATGCTCCCCTCCGCAATTGCAACATTTCAGCTTTGCCCCTTCTTCACATTTTCCGTATTCATGATCTCCACCACATCTGCCACACCTTTGTTTTCCCTTGCACACTGCCGCCACATGTCCAAATCTCTGACATTTAAAACATCTTAGTGGTGGAACATACGGTCTCACATCATAACACATAATATATCCAATAAGTATCTTTTCCGGAAGCCTTTTTTCATCAAAGGTGATCAGAACCGAAAGACTATCTTCTTTAATCCCATTGCGGTTTGCTTTCATGCGTTTGACATCACTTATCTTTGCATTTGTTATATTCCCTTTCACATCATCAGCTGATATTCTGACGGGGATTCCTGTCACAACTCCCCTGACTAGCTTTCTACCACTGAACAGTGAATATTCCACTTTCTTAGCCTCCACGGTACTAATCTTTATTGCTCTCCCCTGTTGCTCTCTATCCCTACATTTGATCAACATTGATCCATTCCTCAATATTTTAGCACTCATTACCTCCCCAATTGCTTTACTGATGGGTTTAGTTAACCGTATAGGGTTCCACACGCCGAACGAAGCTCCCTCTTGCGCAAATTTCACAACCACCATGAACTCCTGTTGCCTATTTCCGACTACTCTTTCTCTCCTTTCACCCTCACTATTGCTCTCATCCGAATTAGTATTTCCTCCCTTTTTACGTTTATTACTCCTCACTATATCTCATTTTCCATTTTCACAACTCCCGCCTGCTTCGTCCATGCTTCCTGCCT